ATAATTTTCTTAATTTCTGACAACAGATTCTTATGTCATACTTTACCCATAATCCTTTGCTTGAGAATCAAGATGGCTAACTTACATAATAACGATGAAAAGTTGAATATCTAGAGATTGAAAACTGATATAAAAAAAAGTGTAAATTGCATTCTCCTACATTTGTGGAGCTTTTTCTTTAGGGGTCATTATGTTTGGATTGAGGTTCCCTTTAACTACACCAAAACACAGATTGAACCACAGCATCCAGGAAGTGTCACATCGCTTTTCAAAAACTTTCAATCCAAGTTTTTACTTTACAATTTGTTTTTAATATTTTGATGTATACATATACATGGAAATAATACTTTGACTTGGTGCTAAATTTCAGAAGAAAACAAAGTTCAGTCTTGGCAGAGACACATCACTCCAGTGTTAATTTAGTGCTTGCGTTCTATGGTATTTGCAGAATTTAATTTACACATGACTAATTTGCATGGCTCTTGATGTTTGTGCAAAAAATTAACTTTGTAATTTTTTATTATTCCAATATGTATAACATGCGACATTAATTATAATAAAATATACCTTGGCAAATCAAGTTATGCATCGAATGACCATGTCTGAAATTGATTTAGTAACCAACTGATAATGCTTGCTCCAGTTGATTCTAAACCACACAAATGGAGATTACAAGAATTACATTCCTGATAGGGATCACACTTTCTGAATGCTGACCTCTTGGTGACATGGGTGCTGATTTCTTGTCTTTGTAGAAAAAAAATGGGATACAATCTTTTCCTGTCTTTCCACCATCAGATTTGTATGTGTCAGACGCTTCGAGAATAGGTAACAAAAGACAACCATTTTATGAAGTTCACTAACACACAGGTAGCGTCCATGAAAACAAGTATGAAATAAACAAAATAGTGAATCAAAAAGATTCACACAACACCTTCACATGTGTTTCTGCTTCAACTTCTAGTCGAAAGGGAAATGAATATTTATTGAGGCGTTACCCAGAAAACACCTGCCACCTGTCTGCATGTAGAGGGCGCTGTTTAGGGTAACATTGTCTTGCATGGAAGACTCGAAAGGATTTACATTCAAACTCTAACTGAATAATAAATGGATCTATGGATAAAAGTACTGTAGTATTACAAAAGATAGTCATAACCCAGGCATTGTTACAATTATCAGAAAAACTAAGATATTAACATACATTTTTATGATAAAAAAATCAACAATTAAATATTTTTCTTATCTTAAATAACAAAACGCAGCAGAACATTGAACCTTTCATATCAGTTGCACACTCGCCTGAATAATTTTCTAATCAGTATTGACTCAAGAAAAAGACACTAATTATATTACTAACAAAACACAGGGACTGCAGCAACAGTTACAAGCTCTGTAATATGAAATGGAAGCACAAATTGTCCAGTTGGTTTTAAAATCAGGATGGCGACAACCAAGGGTTAATTCATCAACCAATGATACCAGTCTTGTAAGAAATCTTGAAAATTTTTAGTGTTAATCAACTTTTTTTTTAATTTTAATTAACGAAGTGTTAGTATGCTAGACTTGCTTCACATGATCTTTGTATGAATTAATAAATATATGCTAATAATATATTAGTCACATGATTATGAATAAACCAATCAGAATGTAATATATATGTGCTGTTACCAAACAGGGAGATTGCAATTCTCAGATACAAACAAATACAAAATGTTATTGCATAGGCAATTTACATCTTTCCATAAAACTTTAAGAATGTACGACTAATTCATACATACATTTATTTGTTTATAAAAAAAGCTCACTAATAGTTGCAAATTGTTATCCTGTGTCTTCAGCACCATTTAATCTGTGTAGATAGCCTTGTGTAATACGATACAAGGGGTTTCAAGTACAAGGTAACTTGTAGCAGTATGATGAGCATGATGGGAGTAACTTTGTAGGTATGTGGTAGGTTAATGTCTTTGTGCTTCTTTTGCTGCCAGTATAAGAGGCTGCAGACTGGCTAATGGTTTGGCTAACTTCAAAAATGGATGCTGGTAAAAAGAAAGAAGACAAACATTAGGCATGAGTGCATGTGGACATGACATAATGAATCCCGCTGTATAGAAAGTGTTTGTGCAGTGTGCAACATTTACCGCATGTAACACCATTTGCTACTATAAAGATTTTACTATAATAAGGATTTTAAAATCACCCAAAATTCACACACAACAAACAAAGCTTTGTTTTTTAAATTCATCACAATACCTGCAGTAAGTCACATCCAGCTGCTCTTTTTTCCACATCCATTTCAAGGCATTTAGCAAGGAAATCTTTAAAGATTGGTGACAACTTCTCAGGATTCTGAAGTTCTGGTGTGCCATTAGTAGCTATAAGGTACAACGCCTAGATGCAAAAACAAACATTTTATTAATGTATTGGTTCCACTTATTAGAAGTTTACATGAAAACCTTGAAGCACTTTTATACTTTTTCAGTTTAGTAAACTTATTAACTGAACTTTGAGATGATCTTGTTTATAGGCTGTCACACTGTGCTTTTCGACGCCATATATTTACGTTTTGACGTCACATGTTTACATTTTGACATCACTTGTTTATATTGTGACATGTTTACATTTTGACATCACTTGTTTACATTTTGACATCATGTTTACATTTTGAAATCATGTTTACGTTGTGACATGTTTATATTTTGACATCATGTTTACATTTAGAAATCATGTTTACGTTGTGCCATGTTTACGTTGTGACATGTTTACGTTGTGACATGTTTACATTTTGACACATGTTTACATTTTGACAGCATGTTTACATTTTGACAGCATGTTTACATTTTGACATCACATGTTTACAATTTGATATCATATGTTTACATTTTTGTCAACCAGCATGCGAATGTATGATAATAAATGTCTCGTGATTTACTATGATAAAATGGTCTATTAACAGAAACACATACATGTATATTTAATAATAACAGCAGTACACAGCGTCGTTATCTCATCTTTGAATGCAAATGATCGGTTCTTACTAACCAGTCACTACACACGCAAAGTCGCACAGAATGGAAATAAGTTCAATGACCTATAGTCCTTGTATGGAATCCATGCGAAAACCACAACACAACATGACACACTTATACAAAATACAAATTTTATCATAAATTACTATTGAGAGTATTAAGATGTTTTAGTGGATGGATTTTTTACAAAGTAATCTTTAATTATTTAGGAAGCATAGAAACTAAATACCCTAAGAGGATTTTCGTTAAGATATGGTGGTTCTCCTTCTATCATTTCAATAGCCATGATACCTAAACTCCAGATATCGACTTTTGGTCCATATTGTTTCCTGGTGACCACTTCAGGAGCCATCCAATAAGGCGTACCAACCATTGTAGTACGTTTGTTCTGTTCTGGTGTGATCTGGGCACAGAAGCCAAAATCAGCTGAAATAGACGAACATACTTATTACATTTATGATTTTCACATCTGAATGCCATGTAGCAATCAACCAGTCTGTCATGATATTTTTCAGAGCTGAATAGTGTTAAGTTCAAGTCCATGCGTGGGTGTTGGTCACACACAGTTTAATGAGAGGAACTTGACCCTCCCAGAGGATACAGGCCAGGGAACACATGGGCTTCTATTTAGTTTAGAATACTTGGACTTCCTACAGGAACTCATAAATCTTTCATTAAGAGTCAAGTTGATTAACCAGGGATTACTTGATGTCACATAGCCATGTATGGCAATGGACAGTTAGAATATACCATTGAGAAATATTTTATTGGCTCTCCCAAATGAAAGCCAACCTCCTTATGACTTATGAGCCATGGCCTATTTAAGGGCTAGTAATCTTGTACTTAGGTTGTCTAATGCTATGATTGTCTTGCGCGAGCCGATGCTTTCATTAACCCAGTATTAACAAGTCATTGAAAATGACACAGTCCCTGTTAAATTTTTGAAAGTTCTCTTTGTGCACGTCATATTAAGCAGAGGGGTTGTCGCGAGCATGTCCTTGAAACTTGAGTTCCAAGTGGCGTATACAACAGATTGTTTATTTACATCAAAACACTTGTTCCGAGTAGTAGTAATATGACCAAAAATAAAAACAGCCGTTATTTGGCCATCTTTGATCTGATTATGAAACACACTGATATGTATTATGTATGTACCAAATACAAATGAAAATGATGGAGTGTGAAATATAGTAGTAAGGCCAAAATGTCAGATGGCTGTCAATTGGCCATCCTTGACCAGATTTTGAAACAAATTGTCATGGACATGCATCCTAACATGTATAAAGTGCATGTATGTGCCAAATTTGAATGAAAACTGACAGAGCACGTCCAAGATGCGGCATAAAAAATTCAAAACAATATGCCTGCCAGTCGATCATCTATGATCCAATTGTGAAATAAATCATCATGGACATGTATCCTAACATGTATAATCTATGTACCAAGTTTGAATGACAACTGACAAAGCATGTCCAAAATACAACATTTTCAAAAAACAAGATGGCTGCCAGTCAGCCATTTTGAATCGAATCGCTAAGCCACTGCATGTGCATATGTCCCACATAAGGTACTAGGCACATGTAAAGAATGAACGGAATCGGTCCACAGGATTATGAAATATGACTTTGGACAGAATGACGCACGGACGAACGGACACACGGACGGACTGACTCTGGAACTCACGGACGATCGGGGACATGTATCCTAACATGTATGATCTATGTACTAAATTTGAATGAAAACAGACAAAGCATTACAAAATACAACATTTTCAAAAAAAATATGGCTGCCAGTCGGCCATCTTTGATCCAATTGTGAAATAAATTGTCACGGACATGTATCCTAACATGTATAATCTATGTACCAAATTTGAATGAAAACTGACAAAGCATGTCCAAAATACAACATTTTCAAAAAACAAGATGGCTGCCAGTCGGTCATTTTGAATTGAATCGCTAAACCACTGCATGTGCATATGTCCCACATAAAGTACTAGGCACATGCAAAGAATTCTGAGATTTGACTCCGGACGGACGCACAGATGCACAGACGGACGGAGAACGAATTATAAGTCCTCGTTTTCGGACTTCGTCCGAACGGGGACTAATAAATAGTTATTATATAATGTGAACTACATGTCTGATTATTGGTTGGTTGTTGACTGGAATGGTATTATACTGGTGTCTTCACACTACCCAAATAAAAAGATTATTACACAGTCCCAACAAATATGTCACTATGCACAGTTAATATGTCACGTCATTCATGCTAGAATAACAGGATATAGAAATGTGACACTTATACTTACTCAATTTAACACTTCCGTCCATTCCCAGTAAAATATTATCACTCTTTATATCTCGGTGAATCACATGATTACGATGTAAAAATTCCAATGCTTGAAGACACTATAAAGGTAATTAAAACATCATCGACCCACTCTGAGGCATTACTTTGGAGATATTTCTACACTATGGTGGTAGGGTTCTGCTGACCCTTCACCAATCACCATTGGCAAATTAATTTTAGACTCTGCTAGAAAGAATGGTCTGAAAAAAACTATGAATTATTCTGAGAAAATTCGACTTAGGCCATCAATGGCTAAACTTCAATCCTCAGTGGAAGCCCATGGAAGTAAACCATAAAATCACAGCTAATGCTGATCTGATCATTAGGATAGGACATAGTTTAAGCAGGGGTTTTTCTAGAAAAAAACTGCAAGAGGGAGCACTGAAATTTAGCGGTGCCACCAAGTGGAGGAGATAGGGTTCTCCCTACCAGGGTGTAGAGTTTTTGATAAGTTAAAATGGAGCATTCTATGGCTTCCTTGGGGCCAAAATTACTATCAGACAGGTCACAGTTGAAGACTGTGGCCACATGTGATCCCTGGTCAATCAGAATTTTATGGTTGCCAGAGGATCTGCTCCCCAGGGTAAGGGGGCACATAGCCATTGCATGAGGGCGCTGCACCCTGTTCCCTTGTTTAAAAAAATCCCTGGTCATACTGAGTATTCACCTCTCTGCTAACTGCAGCAATCTGACCTTCATCCATACAGGTTTCCGTGACAACATCAGTTAATGAGCCTCCAGCTAAGAACTCCATAACAACCTACAAATGAAATAATAAATAAATCAAAAATACATGTAGATATAGTAGGATATTCTGAACTGAAAATGTCTGAAGTGACATGGCAAACAGCATGGCTAAATATTCATTTAGACTGATTATATAAGCAAAGTTGTTAAGTGTTTCACTATGCACAATAAATGCAAATATCATATGGCACATTTATAGTGGACAAAGACTCCTTAAGCTCCAGTAAATTGGATCATTAATTAACGCCCTCTTGTGAGAGTCTATTGACATACAAAGAAATACACAAGTCTATAAATATCAAATTACACAAAATGCGTCACACC